GTGCCATCTGTGTTACCTTGTACTCGGCTGCACACTAGCGAGCTTGACAAAAATGAGGGCGAACGGTCTCGGGGAAAAACATCTGGTACCTGCCGCGACTCTTGACTCTCGGGCGTATCCTGGAAGGGATGATGGGGGTTCTGTTTTTTGTTGCGTCCGTTGATGATAGGGGTTCTGCTTTTTGTTGCGTCCGTTCTCTCTCTCCCCGCATGGACTAGGTACAGTAAACACGTTGCACTGCTTTCTAGCAGTTCTAGCAGTTCTCTGCTGTGCAGTGAGGTTCCGTCCGCGTGAGACACAAATAATTCCAAACGTCGAAGGCAAAGCTAAATATTGCAAGGGGGTCTTTTTCTTTACATGGCTTTGGGCAGGACAATCGTTATTATTTTTTTTGTTGCATTTGGGCATATTGTACAGGCGTGTTTGGAAAGGTATCCCGCGCAAAGCATGGCTACTTCTTTATTAGGCGCTTGAGAATTAATCGTTAGATGAAAGTTTGGGACCAACCCTCTCGCCGCTTCCCTCCTCCTCTTGAGCTCACCCCATCCCCCACCCTCGTTTTTTTTTGTCTTGATTGCTCAGGTACGCCGTCCAGATGCTTACGCCAGGACGCATTCTCGCAGAAACGAGCGGTAGGAAAAAGGTGAGAAATAGAAGAAGCGGTTTTTTTACGGTTGGGGGGGAGTTGTGGAGGGGAGTGCGGAAGAGGTGCATTGCCGGCTTTTGGCGGGATAGAGGCGCGGCGAGCACGCGACACGCAGTCAGACGCTTGTCAACGTTGATGGAACCAACCCGATGTTGTTTCAGGGTGAGAGCTTACTGCAGTACCAGGTACCGGATGAGAGTTGTGTATAGGTGCCGGCTGGGAGGTGAAGGCAACCGTTGACAGCTGTAGGCAGCGGGTGAGCTATTCTCAGACCCCTCCCCCCCACGGATGGGGTCCCGCTGTAACACGCAAGATCTGTAGCAGTCCGTACCACGACGAGCCTCCTTCTTTTTTCTCGAAACGGTCGCAAGAAGTACCTGGCGTTTTGTAATGCGTTGCATGCGGCACGAGTGTTCGCTCAGCTTTGTTTCGAAATCCCCAACATGGTTGGGGGCGTAGTGGTGCGGGAACTTAGTCGATCGGATCCTCCCTCCCATGAAATACGCATGTGCCAAGCAAGCACTACGCCGCCCAGCCACACAAAACGTCTTCAGAAGAGATTGTAAATGTGTGCCATGCAAACTCTTGCGTTGCCCTACCGAACAAATGCCTTCAGAGAATATGCTATTTATGTGCCAAGCAAACTCTGTTCGTCGCCCGACCAAACAGAAACAGCCTTCAGAAAAGAAAATGGGGAACCCTTTGTGTTGGTTGATTTCGGCTTTTCTTCTAACACCGGGCAATGCACGTCACCTCTCAGATTAATATCGGGGACGTGGAGGAGGTGGACGGGCTCTTCCATGACGCCAAGGCGTCCGCGCAGCTGCTCGCCGACGACGCGGAGGGGTACCTTCACTAAATTTATTTTCCAAATCAACCGCATGGGCGTCAGGATTGCTTCCGGCATCGGCAATGATGGATGGCGTACATAGATGACGCAGAGGGGTACCTCGCCTAGATTTATTTTCCAAACCAACCACATGGGCGTCAGGGTTGCTTCCGGGGTCGGCAATGGTGGATGGCGTGCGTAGATGACGCAGAGGGGTACCTCGACTAGGTTTATTTTCTGAGCCAACCATGTCATGTTTGGGCGGCAGGGTTGCTTCCGGCGTCGGCAATGGTGGATGGCGTACATAGATGACGCAGAGGGGTACCTTCACTTGCGTTTTTTTCCTACACCAACAATGTTGTTGGGTACATCAGGATTCTTGCTTTGGGTACAGGCAATGATGGATGGCCTACACACGGCTACTTATTTTTCGGCATTGTTCCAAGAGTAGCAAACAAACGCGGAGAGATTTTGTGTGTTTCGAAATTCGCCCCCACACAGAATGCCGGGCGGGGGCATCCCCTGGTCGGCAGACCCCGCTTCTTGATCGACAGTGGGGGGCCCTGTTTTTGTGCCGGTGCCCGCTGTAGGACCGGCAAGCACAGACTGAATCATCACCAAGTAATTCTGCACTTTGAACAGTGCTGGTGTCAGGTATATGTAGTGCCGCCAGTTCTCTGGGCACATACCGGCCCTAAACAGCCCCCCCCCCCCCCTCCCCTCACGGTAAGCACAAAATGCCGAACACCCTTAACAGGATGCAACGCACCCTTCATGCGACTCGCCGAATACCTCACGGCGCTTGGCGCTTGGTGATGTGAGAACTTGGTCCGGTGAAAAACCGGCGAGCTCCTCCCCGGCTTTGTAGGGATGCGAGGTCAAAGGTCTAACGACTACGACATGAACGATTATGAGGTACCCCCCCCCCCCCCCGCGTTAAGGAAGGGCTGGTGCCGATGAGGAGTGCTCGCCACTTTGGCGCAAACACTGTTTGGCGGGTGACCGAGTGTGTGGGTTGGGGGTAGGGTCAGCCCTGTGCCCCCCGACGAGGAGAGTAATCATGGCCTCGTCTATTTTTAGTGCTCTCCCGCGCCCGCCATGGGTGTGAACCACCAGCCCCCATTGCGAGTGTTTTGGGGCTCCTCTTCACTGATTTCGCGGCGACAGCAGTTGATTACAACCTCTTTTGCACACTAGCGATCCCTACGGAAGCTCCCGTGGTATTGCCAAGGAATCTGGCCGGCCTTGCACCGGGAGTCCGGAAGCACTCTTCAGGGTATGAGACTACTTGGAACAGGAACATTCCATCTGTGTCCACGATTTGTTGGGGCCAAAATATTAGGACGACCGACCTTAATCTGCGGCTTAGTTATTGAGGGGCCTACTCGTGTAACGGCTGTGCCCAGCTCAGCACCACTCACGTATCTACGACATCTGCCTCTGTGTAGACTCTGAATGCGGTGTCTTGGACGAAACGCCGCCGAAGAAGGGAGGACGCAAACTGTTCAAACAAGAAGGAGTTTCGGAGAGGTTTCAACGCGTTGCTGCTCGGCTTGTGGCGGCTTCTTTGTATCACCTCTTTTGCCGCTTCTTGGTGGGATACAACGGCTCATCCGACAAACACCCCCATGTGTCTCTGCTCTGTGCCACAGAAAGTATTTTACCTAACAAATGTCGCGCCTCATTTTAGCAAGAATTCGAACCCCGCCAGGGATGGATGCGACTCGAAATCTGCGAAAAGTTGTTGCATGCTGCTGCCGTCTAGCCATTTCATCATATGGACCGTTTCCTTGTACCCTGGGAATAATTCTCGCACGTAAGCTCGCAGGAAAATGCACAACCTCAAACCGAGGAAAATGAATGTGCAACGTCAAGCTCAGATCAGTACATTCTACGGGCAGCTGAAGGTGCTGGATAGACATCGGAACAGTTATTAAGGTGAAGACAAACACAACCTCCAACCAATTTCGGGAGCAATTCATTTTCGGAGAGGAAGGAGCAGAGTCACGAAATCACACATTATACGACAGACTAACAGACTACAGACGGACCAGCAAAGACAAAAACCGAACACGTTATATTACCATGTGACCTTTCAAAACCCTTTTCCCACCAGCGCCCCTAATAAAAATAGAAAAATACTGCAGTTGGGTCGAACTTCTTTCCTAGAAGTATGTAACAGGCCATCGCACCGCGCTCTCGACGTAGTCTATCTACCCTCCCCACTAGTGCACATTACTCGCCTCTGCACTCTGTATGCCTTGGCTATGTGCTGACTCTGTGAGCTTGAAGGCCTATCCTCCAGGCGGAAAATCAGTACCATGCACATCTGTTCGAGGAACCCTCTAGACTTCTCTCGCAGCAACCGCAACAAAAAAAAATCCGCATTCATCATCGCATGAGTGAGTGGGCCTGTCAGCTAGCAGACTCCCCGTTCCAAAATCACGGGGTCACCCCTAACCTATACCCCACGGCAAACCTACATACCGTTGTGCCCTCCCTTTCCCCCGCGAACTTAAAATCGCGCGACCCGTTAGCTAGCAGACAACCACACGGGGTCCCTATCATTCTATATCCCACTGCAAACCTACATACCGCTGTGCCCCCGCCCTCTCGAAGATCACGGGCAACCGACGCCCCACGGCAATTCTACATACCGCTACCCCCCCCCTTTGTGGGGAGCCCGAAGGGTACTTATTACTTTACTTGGCAGGAGAGGGATCCGTGAGCTTGTGGACGTTCCAACACATCATCGTCCCATCCTCTCCGGCCGACAAAAAGTAGCCGTCGTCGATGGACGGGTTGTTGAAGGGCAGGAGGGCGAGCACGGGTTTTCTGTGGTAGAGGCAGTCGTCGCGTGGCCAAAAACAACGGTGCAGGGGCGCGCAGGGGCGGGGGGGGGGTTGACAGCGGTGTTGATTCCGTACGCCGAAGGAAGCACATACATACCACGAGCCCGAAACAAACAGATGAGAGAAACAAGACGCAAAAACCCGACATCAGGAGGAAGACGGGCGGCACGCACAGTGTCCCAACAATGCTAATATACCAATGCTAGCATACATAGCAAACCCCCCCTCCGTACAGAAGCACCCAAATCCATGCCCCGAATACCAACAACAACGACAACAGATCCTCACGAGTGTCCGACGTAGAGGGAGGTAGGGTGTATCTCAAAGGCGAGCGCGAACTCGGGGAAATTTCGGACCGCGATCGTTCCGTCCTGCGGGCAAGGCGACGGCGGCCGAGACCGTGGCAGGGGCCACACAAACCGCGGGTTGCAGGACGAGCGGAGGGTGGGGGGTGGGGGGGGGTGGGGGGGTACTCACGTGAACGCATGCCGTACACGTTAGACCATTGACCTCGCCCAGGCGACGTTTCGGGGCGGGGGGTAATACGAGCGGTTGTGAATTCTCTTGGAATAAATTACAAAAACACAACGGGCACCGTTCACATGACATGCAGTCATTTGATCACAGTACTAAACTCCCGAAAAGTAGCCGCCTACGTAGCTGGTGGCCAGAGAGAACTCCAAACGGCCAGAGATATATTGCATCCAGCAGCATATCCCACAACCCCCCGCCCCCCGCCCCCAGCCCGCCGCTAGGCCACTGTTGCCCGTCGCTCCTCTCTTACAGGTCAAACCGAGCAAAAACAGTGTAAATCATACCCCGTTCCTCTCGGTCCGGCCCAACCACCTTCAATAACGCGTAGGCTGGATGAACAACGTAACACGTAGGATACCACCTCCCTTCCAGAGGATTTCAAGCCTCTGCTACTCCACGACGAAGAGGATACCAAGAATGAAACGACACACTGTCGGAAAGTTCTGGGAAAGTTCTCGGAAAGCCCCCCAACGAGACTGTTTTCAACGACGCCGTTTTCGGCAGCATCATCGCTGCCCTTTTCGTGGTGTTTGTCTTGGCTGCTGGCAGCAGAGAAATCGCGATGTGAATAAAACAGGCCGTGCCCAAAACAAGTGTAGCGAATGGCAAAGCACCAGTTAAGGGCGCGGGGGGGATCGCAGTACTTCCTCTTCAAAAAAACAGGAAACGCCTGGAAACGCCTGCATATCTCGGTTTTCCAAAGTCTAACTCCAGTACGAAACTACCATCGTAAACTAATCATCCGCAGCGGTCGCTTGTGTACAATGTTAGTAGCTGAGGTTGTACCCCTTGCGATACACTACAGACTAGCGGTCCGCGATTTTCCAAACGATCCTTCTATCATCGAGTTCGGTGAGCTACAAGCAAGATTTTTGAAGCTGCTGTGCGGTCCAATTTTGAAACGCTTCAAGCACACGGTGAACACGAATCACCGCCTGTGAGTGTATGGGGCCGCGAACTTCACCGCAGCTCTTCCCTCACATATCCAGCTGGTCAGCCATTGTCCATTTGAATGCCTAGGGTCATGTATATGCATGTCCAGCCTTTAGGCAAAGGTGCTTGAAGCGTTTCAAAATTGGACCGCACAGCAGCTTCAAAAATCTAGCTTGTAGCTCACCGAACTCGATGATACAAGGATCGTTTGGAAAATCGCGGACCGCTAGTCTGTAGTGTATCGCAAGGGGTACAACCTCAGCTACTAACATTGTACACAAGCGACCGCTGCGGACGATTAATTTACGATGGTAGTTTCGTACTGGAGTTAGACTTTGGAAAACCGAGATATGCAGGCGTTTCCTGGATTTTTCAGAGGAGGTACTGCGATCCCCCCCGCGCCCTTAACAAGTATTTCGTAATCCATTACTTTGTGGGAAGGAATACACTTTTGGTTCGGTAGCTGACGCCACTCAACAAAAACGCGGCGAAATACGTACCTGTACACACACATATACACACCTCGTAGTACACACACATGCACATACACACATACACCTCGTAGCCCACGAGCAGGAGGGCGGTCGTACCCGGGGTGGGGTCGAACGCCGCTCCACAAAAAACGCGGTGCAATACGCACCGGTACACACACACGCACCTCGTAACCGACGAGCAGGAGGGCGCTCGTGCCCGGGGTGGGGTCGAACGCGGCGATGGCGGAGACACCGGTCCCACACTTGTGCTTGTAGGTCAAGCCCCCGTCCGCCGCCTGGAACACGCCCATCGTCCCGTCCTTGCTGCCGCTGATCACGTACTCCGCCAAGGTGCCCTCGGCCGCGCTCTGCCCGATCGCCAGAGCGGCAACCGGGCCTTCGTGGCCCCCGTTATCCTCTGGGGGGTTCAGTGGTGGGAGGGGGTCAGCGGATGGGGGAGGAGCAAGCGGTAAGGGTGGGAGCGGGAGGGTCGGCAAAAAAAAAGAAAAGTGTGTGAGAAGTGGGGGGAGGGGAGGGGGGGGAGGTAGCCATGATCTCCGTTTGACTGGATGTTTCTCCTACAGAAAATAATGTCGAGGGCATATGGCTACTTCACACGAATACGAAATCGAAGTATGACCACCGGGTTGGAGCAAACGGCACAAACCAAATACTGTGAGCACTGATTCAAAGTGAAGAAACAAGAAAAACGATCGTACACGGCCCTTCTCACTCCTCCACCCCTTCTCACGTACAAATCGCTCTCCCACCTTGTACATTACCCAGTGTACACGCCGACGTCCTCAATTTCCCAGCGTATGCACATCTGCAGTCTTGCTTGTGCACGCCGCTCTCGTGGTCTCTCGATGATCGCTTGGTTAAATGCGTGCAAATTACGTTTGCACCGCCGACGTAATCATCGCTCAACGCCCCCTCTCTCCCTTGTACATCAAAAGACATTTCCTTTCAAACACGAACCACTTTTTCGCTATTTTTCCATCCCCCGCCGCCCCCGCGTACATCAAACCCTCCCCGCTGCTACCTCGGTTGTCAGTGGAATGCCACCCCAAAAGCTCAATTCCGACGGCCCCTTTTATCTCACTTGTGATGGTGTGCACGCAGGCGTTGGTGCCGGTGTTCCAAATCCTGATCGTGCCGTCCTCTGACGACGACCAGAGCATGCCGTTGCTTGCGGTCGACACCAGGGAAGTGATCGCTCTCGCGTGTCCTTCGAGCTGGGCCAGCTGGGCGAAGGGCGCCTGAGTGACAACAATCAGTCAAAGCCAGCAATTTTGTGGGTGCGTGCTGGGCAACAAAAACATACAAAAAAAAATTCTCTGTCCCACCCCTACCGGAAAACATGCAGAAAGAAAGCTCAAGGCCATTGTAGTCCTTGTCGAACAGCAGCATGGCATGAGTTGGTGCATCTTTCGGGCAAGCAACGAAAAGGGGTGGTGCGGTCTGTCGAAAAAGAAAAAAAAAAGCAAGAAAAATAATACCTACGAACCAAACAGCTCCTCTATGCTTATGAGGTTGGTTATGTCCGAGCGGGTGCTGGTCTAGTGCCTGGGTGCGAGACACCCACCATTGCCGCCGGTGCCGAATCAATCAACAACGTCAAGTACACCGAATCGACGATTGGAAAACAGTTTTCAGCTCTTACCCCTCGTACTAATATACTTTCGCGTAAATAATAGCCTTCTCAAACCTACGACCATTCCGTCAAACGTGGGCCGCACCCCTCACATCAAAACAACAACCTCGAGCCAGAGAGAACGAACGAGGCAATCGAAGACTATCGAATAAAATGGGGTACGAAAGCAAAAGCTCGACTCGACTCACCCCCGGGCTTGGTCGTGCCCACGCGGTTATTCGTCCCTCCTCGTCCCCGGTGTACACCCTAGGCTCCGCCCCGACCTTCGCCACCATGATGCGGTTTATACGCCTGGCCCGGCCCGTCAGGCGCACGAAAGGAACACAGATACACGTTATTTTTTCTTGAAATCATCTTCGTATATCAGCGTTCACATCTTACAGAATTGCTGCGGGTAAGAGGGATCCCATCCGCGTGGTGGTCACACAGAAGGCAAACTTAAAAAAAAAAAAACACACACACACACAGCAGTAAAATGAAATATGTAGCGAATGCTAATTTATCCGTGAGAATATTTCTTGTAAATTTGTGGATGGAGATAATTTTTCTTTTTATCTCGTGTAAAACAAAAAAACAGACGCACACGGTGCTGTCTCGCGAGAACTTGAGGCGAGGGACTTGGTGCGCGAACACAGAGAGAATAGTAGCGATGATGAAACTCCACCCCCAAAGGGTGTGTGGTGCGGCATGTGTGTAAGTAACACCAGGACACAAGGCGATCGATGTACCATGCCTGTTCTTCGCGAAACGAGGGTGGTGACCGTGGAGATCCCCTTCATAAACGGCAGGCATACAACCTCCCCAACGTCTGCCAAACCAGGACGACTCCCTCTTTTTCACGTGACGCGACATGTGATCATGCCGCAAAAGTATAGTTCCAAAAACGGAGATCACGTGGTCCTCCATGCGAGCCGGAACAAACGCGCAGACGCGGGCGTCTAACGCTCGCAGAGGCAGGTAAGTGGGTAGTGAGGTACCTCCGATCATCCGGGCTAGGCATCGCGGTGCCCCACACACTCCCTAGGCAAAAAAAACGGTCTTGGGCAAAACACGCAGCACTTCAAAGTTCAATTGGGAGCACTCACGAGGCGTGCGCAAAGCCGGTGACGGAGCTGACGACTTCTTGCGTGCTGCCGCTGGTGAGGTCCATTACTCTGGTCCGTCAAGGAGGACAGCAAGAGCACACGAAACCGAGAGACACACCATCAGCAAAGGCAGGAATGGGAGGACGGGAGAGGATGGGATGGTGAACACATCAGATGGAGAAACCCAAGCCAAAACAACGAGGGTGCCAATGCCATAGCAACAACTTAGGGCATATGGGATTGACCCTGTACCTACCGGTCACATGCACGTTGATCGTGCTGGTAGAGGAAACGTTTGATTGGTTGAGCAGTGCCTCCTATCGTTGCCCCCCATCGAGGCAAGACCTAGCGGGTTATCTCGCAATCGACTACTGCTTTGGCGCAATGAAAGATTCGCATCACCACGACCGAAAACACAAAAAAAAACTCCAACAACATCGCCAACAACACCCCAGCCCAATGGTACCAAAAAAGACAACCACAATCCAGAAAAAGACCAAACGCCGCGCGAGCGAGCGAGCGAGAGCGCCAACCAAGCCTTATCCCGTCTTCCTGACCTCAAGGCGTCCACCGTCACGTCCGCCAAGTGGGCGTACGGCGTGCCGTAACCAACATAAAGCACGCCTTCAACCTGGACAAGAAGCGCGGCGAACAGTAGAGGTCCCTGTTTAGTGCCGGATGGAAAGTGCCCGTGCCCGGAATAGTGCCAGCCAAATCTCTGGGTACGAGTGTCCACTCCAACACCAATACAAATGTATCCCTGTTCTGTAATAATGCCTGTGTCCGGTGCCGGCGAATTTGCAGGGCACATACCGGCATTTCACAGGGACTTCAATGATACTACTGTATTTAGTGGCGCGTGTGACACAAGGGGACGAGCGCGTGGAGGGAAGGGGGGGGGGGGGAGGGGTGACCCACGCCGACACCCAGCAGCAGCACACCATCCTACCACGAACACTCCACGGGTTATACGCAACAATACTGACAAAACACAAAAATGAATTGACGGACAGAGCTTATTGAGCGTTCAAAAATCGATCGATCGCACGCCTGTTCGCGTTCATCCGCCACTTCTTCCGCATACAACTGGTTTGTTTCGCAAAGAGGTACACAGACAGGCAGACAGATTGTCCACTCTCCCAAAGCTGGGTGCAGCCGTGGGCTCTCTATTGGAAAGCTCCAGGCACATTCCTCCCACTCGACAGCGTCCAGCCGCACTGTTCTAAGCACACTTCTTGCACGCAAAACAACTTGACTACTGTACCGAGGGTGGCATGACACAAGATACCACACCCCCTGAACCGATTTTCGCTCCATAGGTGACGCAAGATACCACCCCCCCGATTTTCGACATAAGATACCACACACCCTTGACCGATTTTCGCTCCATAGGTGACACAAGATAACACACACCCTTGACCGATTTTCAAAGCTCGAACACGAACACTCCACAGTAGAAAGCGTAGTGGAGCAGAAAGTGGCGGAGTGGGAAACACCACGTCGAGCTCTTCCCGAAAAGACGCATCAGTTGAGTTTTCATTCTCATATTCGTGGGGGTAGTCGAGCTTTGAAAATCGATCCAGGAGGTGTGGTGTTTTGTCAAACATGCGGTATGCCATTGAGCGCCGAGACATCTTGCTCCACCAAAACAACTTGACAATTCCATTGAGTGCCGAGAGATTTCACTCCCCCAGTGAACAACTTGACAATTTCATCTATTTCATTGAGTGCCGAGAGATTTCACTCCCCCAGTGAACAACTTGACAATTTCATCTATTTCATTGAGTGCCGAGAGATTTCACTCCCCCAGTGAACAACTTGACAATTTCATCTATTTCATTGAGTGCCGAGAGATATCACTCCCCCAATGAACAACTGGACTTCATCGAGTGCCGAGAATTTTCACTCCCCCGGTGAACAACCTGACTACTTCATGGTGTGCCGAGAGATCCAATCCCCCATTGACCATTGACTGTTCGATGGTGTTCCCCACACATTTCACTCCCCCAATGCCGGCCCTATAGGCCCCCCCCCCGATTGCAGTATAATAGTCGAATATCATCACCCCCGCCCCCCGACTAACCTCCTGGAGGTCGCCCACGTGCCGCCACTCGGTCATCTGGACCGAAGTCACCTGAGTCCACGTAGACCCGTCCGTTGTCGACCACATCTACCGTACAGCAGCGCGGTCGCAGCAGCGGCATCAGGAGCAGGAGCAGGATCAGCAGCAGCAGCAGCAGCAATCGACAGACGCAAAACGACAACAACGACGACAAATGAGAGGCTGCGCAACAGTGGCGGTGGTGTTGCTGGGGCTCGGGCTACTACTCACGCTGCGGCGGCGGAACCAAGTCCACCTCTCGCCGCAACATCACGACGACACGCAATGGGTGAAGGTTTACCCCGGTTTCTTGTACGGGTCTGGACGTTGTTTTTCTAGGGATAACGTTGAGTGTATCGCTTTCCCCCTCCGTCCTCCCCGAGCAAACCGGCTTCGTTCCGCTGCCCGCAGGCCCGTCACCGTCCCGGCTACCGTCCCACCACGTCACCCTGACGCCACGTCATCTAAGACGCTGTTCGGAATAATTTCCGAGCCTGTTCCTTCCCCACGTTTAGGGAGCACCCACGGTCATTTGTCGCGTATGGAGAGGTGAATTGGAAAACCCGGACGTCGGTTTACACGTGACCCGTCCCAAGGTGAGGTGGAAAACCCGGAAGTGGTGATATCCGTGACCCATGCCAAGGTGAGTTGTAAAACCCGGAAACGATATACCCTTGACCCATCCCAAAGTGAGTAGTGCCAAACCCTGGAAGTGTTGTTACCGGTGACCCGTCCCCAAGGTGAGTCGAAAAACCCGGCCGGACGTGGTTTTGCTCGTGACCCATCCCAAGGTGAGCTGGAAAACCCAACTCAAGGTGAGCTGGAAACCCTGGAAGTGGATTACCCGTGATCCGTCCCAACCCGTTCCGAAACAAGGGTGTCCCACCTAACGTCAGCGCACCCGGGAAAAACTCTTCCGAGCGTCCTTTTCCCGCCGCAGCTGGGGCATCGTCTTGCCCACCGCCGTGCGTGGCCACTCCGAAAGGCTCATTTCCTCGTTTTGCATGCTCAGTCGATCCATCCCACCTTAGGATCCAAAGATGTTCATACGCCTCCTTCCCACGTCAACTCTCAAAGTTGTCGATACCCGCAACTAAACAGCGTTCGAAACACGGCCATACCAGGACAGCATGTGCGCTTCTTAACGATGACACCAAATCGAAAGATATTTCACCAAAAATGGCATTCCACGTAAGCTCATCAACCGACAGCGGTGTGTTACACGGACGAAACTTTGTCGAAAGAAGACTGCCGTCCCGTCCGCCACAGCAGTAGATACCCGCAAACGTTCGTAAAACGCCAACCACAAGCCTTCCAGACACATCTAAAAAAAGAAAAAAAATATGTTTCCGTTATTTTGTATAGGGGGGGGGGGGTTTTATGGTGCTATTCCCCCCCCCCCACCCCCCTCCGATGTTTGCCATCGGGGTTGGGTTTTCGTCGCTTGGCAACGACGTTGTAAAACATGCCGCCCCCCCGCGGTGTTTGTCATCGGGGTTGGGTTTTCGTCGCTTGGCAACGACGTTGTAAAACAAGCCCCCCACTCGGTGTTTGCAATCGGGATTGGGTTTTCGTCGCTTGGCAACGACGTTGTAAAACAAGCCAATTCACTTCGTGAACTCGGCAACCAGGTTACCGTTTTTTTTTTTTACCTCGTTTTTTTTTTTGGCGGTAACCATAATGGTGGTCGAGTAGATCATGTTGTGCGGGGTCGAGAAACCTCACTCTGCGCAACGGGGGATGATCGTACCACGTTGTGTTAAAATGGTCAAGCTTCCTCGAGGCAGTTACACAGTGCTTACAACTGTCTCTGGAAGTGAAAGCACCAGAAAATAAATTAAGTCATACGTAGCTGTCATCCGTACGCAAGGAAGTAAGCACAAGATGCCGAACACCCTTAGCAGGATGCAGCTCACCCTTCATGCGACTCGCCAAATACCTCACGGCGCTTCGCGCTTGGTGATGTGAGAGCCTGGTCCGGTGAGAACCCGGCGTGCTCCGTCCCGGCTTTGTAGGGATGCGAGGTCAATGGTCAAACGACTACGGCATGCACGACTATGAGTACACCCGCCCCCCCCCCCCACCCCATCCGTGGCTTTGTAGGGATGCGAGGTCAATGGCCTAACAACTACGGGATGCACGACTATGAGCACACCGCCCCCCGGCCCCCAGGCAGTAGCCGTCCCGATGATAATCTTGGCGTTAGTGCGGGTTACGGGTTAGGTTAGGGTCACGAAACTCCCCCCTCTAGTTCACAAATAACGCAAATATCCTCACGAAGGCGGCCCCCACCCCCCCTTCCTCACCTTTACTGTACCATCGTCGCAGGCCGAAAAGACGTGGTCTGGCTTGTCCTTCCACTGCACGAGGGACCGCACCGCCCCCCGGAAGCCATCCGATTCCTCCGACACGACGGCCTCGCTGACCTTTTGCACCGCGTGTCGGTGCCTGCGCACGGGCCAGAACAAGACAACACCGCCAGCACGGCGGTTCAGCGGGAGACGGGAGCGGTTCCGAAAGATGAGATAACGCAGCCAGCAACAGTGGTAGAGGGAGACAGGAGCAGTTCAGGAAGATAGGATAACGCAGACAGCAATAGCGATACAGCGGGAGACGGGAGCAGTTCAGAAACAAACTTTGCTGTGTGTCGCCAACGTTGATCCCCGGATTTAGGATAAGCCACGGGAATGCTGAGGGGGCATCCGCGGGTGAGATAACGGTTTCGTGGCTTTGAGGGGAGGGGGGGGAGGAGCAGCTAACTACGGCCGCGGGCAGACATATCTCTCGCCCAACGTCAGTATCGATTTGTCACTTGAAAAGGCTACCATAGCGGTTACAAGTGGACAAAGTTCTAGCGCCTGCGCGAACGGAATAACTTGCGAGAACCATGTAGAGCTACACCGTCTGGTCTGACCGATACATATGTACATATCCGAACGAGCGTTTTCAAAGTCCTCCAAAGTTCTGTACAAGGTATACTCGTACCCTCGGGTAGTCTGAAAAGGACACAGCAGCGCACCAAAAACTGGGTAGGGTATGAGAGACATCTTGCGAAACCTACCCCGAGCGTCGGGTACGGCGTGGGATGCCTCACCACAAGCTACCAGACCCCGTCGGGTATTCTTACCAAAGTTACCCGAGCGTGTCGGGGTAGGGTATGGCATGTCCTACAAAAGCTACCCAAGTCGTCGCGTATGTTAGGGGGCGACGTCGTACCAAAGCTATCAAAACGGTGCGGGTGCGGGTGGGTAATACCCCAGTGGGACACCCGGGTATTTGCATACCCCACCAAACTCATCCTTGAAACGGTTGCAAGTGGGCAAGCATGCACGCGCAGCGCTCAAGAGCACGGCCATGCGAGACCAGGGCGATAGCTTCTGCCCGAAAAACGCGGCCATATACTACGAGCGCCCTAACGCTGACGACACCCGAACATAGAGTGCTCCGAACCCAAACAAAGGGACACGGCGAAACTGTCAAGCCCCCCCCCAGGGAAACAAGGGCTCCCCTCCATGACTGCCCGCCGACACCCGTGCAAGGAGTAAGGCACTGTGCACTAATAAAAAGAGAGGCACATGGCGCACCCGCCAAACTACCCCAGGTAGAGCAAAACGCCCCCAATCTCCCCCACCCCCATGACTGCAAGAGCGGTCTCCCCCTTCCCTCTCACCGGCAGCTGGCCGCGCGGTCGCAGTTCCCCGCCGCGTAGAACTTGCAGACGCTGAAGGTGATCGTGTCGCCCCCGTGCCCGCGACCGGGACCTCGCCCCCCGCCCGCCCCCCTCCCCGCAGGGTTGTACCCCCCCCGCCCCCCCCGCCCCTCGTAGCTGCTGTCCCCGCCCCCCCTGCTAGAATACCGCCCCCCTCTGCCGCTGTTTCGTGGAACGGATAGGGGGCAAGATAATGATTCCTGAACTGTCATTCAGGGCTGTGGCGGGGTTGCTATTTGGCTGGGACGTGGAAAGGGTACGGAGGGACGGGGGGGCAAGAGAATGATTCCTGAACTCTGTCCTTTAGGGTGTGGGCGGTTGCTGTTAAAGACGCCCCTGCTCGGGTGTCTACATCAGGAAATAATTTCTCCAAATTCCGTCGAAGGGCTGGCTCAGGCCAAGGTTGAAGGGGTGTTCTTTGTGCTATTCTTCTTCTGGATGATCCGGTTCACGGTAGGGGGACGGGCGCCATACCGTAATAGTCGTAGAGATGGCACCGGGTGCGATCGATTTTTCAAACTTTTGTCTTCGTGTTTTTTGTCGCAACCCGGTGCCATTTCTCCGACTCTTTCGGTGCTCGTGTTGCACCGCTTCTTGCCTCTCTCTGTTGCAGTCTACCATCGGCCTCACGCTTACACCAACAAGGTCTACGAACGTAGTTCTTCATGATGCCCATGCGCTATGCATACAAATGCCTAGTAGCCTAGGTCGAATGCCCAAAATCAGCCCGGTACGCGACATATGGAGCACGATCGACACGTGCATCCGCCCAGGTTGCCGCTCTTGTTGCTGACCCCCTCCCCCCTCGGGTGTGGTGGATATGCACCAGCGGCTACTGCTGTTGGGATTCCTCAATAGTTTCGGTTGAAGCGGTGCCACGGGCCCGGTATAGCGTCACCGGTGAAATCGCGTGACATGAACGCAATATTCACGTTTGTGTTTGCGTTATGTCTGAATATAACCGGGGTGTCCGGTATACAAGTGCCGGTAAACCTGGCGGGCACACACCTGCACTATTAAGGGACCCCCACACCTGCACTATTAAGGGACCCCCACAACTGTACTGTTACTACAATAGGCAATAGGCTCATCCCCGCGCTCGGCCCCTCCCTGGACTCTCTGTCTTTGAATACTCAAGAATAAACCTGTCTTTGACAAACTAAATCTGAGTGGGCACGTGCTAATGGGCTGGTTTGTTCTAACGTGGGTTTCACGCCTTTTTTTTTTTTGCGGTGGGTTTGTCGTACGCATACAACATGCGCACAGGAATTACCGTGGAGAAGAGGAAGAAAACCTAAAAGTTTCCTTTGGTATCTACAGTAGAATCCGAGCAGTTCAGTCGGGGATGGGGTGAAAAACCAAAATGCTGTACATGTTCGGAGATGGCGAAGGGGACAACGTAACAGGTATTCTCTTTCCACACAGAGAACCGAGTGCTTGTATGTATTAGGTGAAGACTCATTTCAACACGGGGGTGTTATCTAACGTACAGGTGGCCGAATACAGGACTTGTACACGCGAGCAGGCAGGCATTGACCAGTCACCCGGCCATGCCCTGTGATTGTAAGGCGTTCGGTCTTATCCATGGTACTGTAGCACCCATGCACCCACACACCGACAGCCAGCCGCCTGATATCTAGTACATCGAAAACTGCTGAATGTACATGCTTGCACGTGTGGATCTGGATTGGGGGAGGAGAGGCAGATTTGTGTCCTTGCCGTGGTGGCAAAAATATTGAGCAAGTACAGGCGTCGGAAGTTTGACATCCTGCACCTTCTCACTCACTCAGACGTGCACCGAGCGCGACCTCTCACGCCCTCCGTGTACATCAATGTAGCAGATACCACAGAGTAAGCCGTTGGTGTTTCCGCGAAAGCTGATCACAGCGCAGAGGATCCTATCGACTGCTGTGGATTGCAAAGAGTTGCTGGATGTCGCAATGCATCTCGCTCGTGTGTACAATTATCATCGTCGTTAGGAGCCATGCAGCATAGCAGAAGAGAAATTCAAGACGTGCGTAGGTAATTGCTGCAGCAGATTTATATTGTGTGCATCGCTTCTCTCTCCGTTGCTCTCTCCCTCGTTCTCGACCGATCGCTGGGGTTTGCGTGTGAGCTTGCGCAAATGATCGTGTCTTGCGTATTGGTTTCCTCACCGATACGGCGTTCCGCGGCCCCTATACCCGCCCCGTCTCCCTCCGCTGAAGCTATTAAAGCTAGACATGATCCTTCCCCGATGATAACAGCACTCTCAGAGAGATGTACACCCCGTAGCAGGATGATGGGGATACTCCAAGCACACACAGATGCACGGAGGGCGGGGCCAGTAGGGGGCACACAGATGCAAAAATACACCCCCCATAATTCCCGCATCGCTGTCCCCGTCACCCTCAAACACAGACGCACGCTGGACCTCGCTGGCTCCTTGTTGTTGTTGCTGTTGCTGGTTCTCGTCCCTCCCCTCCAGCGCATCATCTTGCTTGGTCTGCGTGCTGATATGGGCAAGCCACCGCTGCTGGCTGCCATTGCTGCAGCCGTTGTGTTCTTCGACACCTTGAGTTGCGCATCAGGGTTCATCATCACGCCGACGGCTCTCTCGCTCCGCCGTTGCGGATCATGTTTTCCAACGAGGTGCGGCCGGCTTTGACTTTTCAAGCTGGTCTCCTATCTGCTGTGCGTAGACCACTGCAGTAGCACTTGCAAGTATCGTCGTTGAGTAAGAGGAAAGGTCTTTTTTGTGATTTTGTGGCATTTCTAGTAAAACCGCAGGTCATTTTGCTTGTAGAGCGTCCTACTGTACATACAAACAACAGTCACATTGCAGTCACACGCACAGCATCTGTACGGATGCATGTGTACCCGTGTACCCGTGTGTCGATCATGATCGATCATGAACATGATTTTCCTCCCCCCGTGCCAGTCAGTCGCGCCTACTTTGCGGCGGAATTGTATTCCTTACACGTTTACCTCTTTCGCAATCTCTCCAGCCCTTCCTCGTAGTTCTCGTTGCTACCCTGGACCTAAACTGCTGTATGAACGAATGATCTGTACCAAACAATCCCGCCGCTTCTTCCATCGAAACGTCCAACAGCAACCTTAAAGCTGCCGAGGGAGCAACGGAAACTCCAGAAACAGAGTCAGAGACAACCGCACCTCCAGCAGCAGAGTCGGAGACTTCACCGTCCACCAGCCTTGGTCTTGCTCGCAGAAAGGCTGAGCTCATGCGCCTCATCCTGGGTACCAGGTAGGATAAATAGTTGTTAGGGGGGGGGGGGGGGGCGTGTGCGTTAGAGGGGCCTGCCTGATACTTCTATTATATGTCGCATATTGTACGGCCGTCTCGCCACTGACGGCGTTTGATTTATCGTTTCTGGCACATGCATTGCAATCGAAATCCAGTGCCACAGAAGGAGTCACGAGTAGTCGGTTCAATCGAAGGGGTCGGCGGAATCGCCTTGAACAGAACCGGCCACCAGTTGGGGCGTGAACTGCTATTTGCCTTTGCTTCGTTTTTGTACGTGAGGCGACTTGACAGGTTTTCAGACTAGGGCTCAAGAAACGATCTACATAATGATCATGTGCAACTGGCTATCGTGTGTAACCGGTACCAGGTTCCCCAGGAGGTGGCCAGTCCCGCACGTCAACAAAAACATTGGAACCGGCCGCTCCGAATAAAATGGGACCGCCGTCGCGGGGAAATTCAGTATTAAGAACAGGGAGGGGGTACGCAGACCCTATTCCCTAACCCTAACCCTAACCCTAACCCTAACCCAAATTCCCCGATTGCACGCTTTATTCAACATGTTTCCTTAATAATGCAAAAACCCTGCGAAGGCTACTGTAGTGGGCCCTGTTTAGTGTTGGTATGTGTCCAGAGGTTTTACCGGCACTATACCTGGCCACCGGCGCTATTGAGAACAGGGCTTAAAGGTTTTAGTATAGGAGTGGACACTCGTGTCCTGAAAATTGACCATCACTATAACCGGACTGTGGCACTATTCAACCGGCATTATACAGGGCCCACTACTGCACTGATAAGATGGAAGCGGGTGCTCCTTTTTCTCAGCGGAGGCGCGCGGTTCATCTTCTACAAGGCAACAACAGGCAAAACAACGAACAAAAAGCAGTCCACCTGTGGCTCCCCTTCCACGGTGACCGCAAACGTTGCCGTGTATCCCGACCTCCTCGTCTCGTTAACTCTGTTATGCTCTTTGTTGTCGTCGTTGTTTTTGTGGTCGTCTCGTCTGTTCTTATTGTCGCTGGTTCCAGCATCGAGGAGAAGGAGTCCGCGGGGGCGGCCGAGGAGGTGGACGCCATAATCGGCGAATTGGAAACCCTGAAGCGAGGGTAGGAAAAAAAGCTTGACGGGAATGCCAAGCGAAAGTATATTCACGACCATGTACCCAAAACGGGGCACAGGTTATGGCGTGCATGCCACACCGTCAGTAGGAACGGAACGCGTTTGGTGGTCGTAATTGCCATCGATAAGCCGTGGGTCCTCGATGGTTGTTGCAGGTTGCTCGGGGATAGCAAGAGACAGAGAGCGGGACCGCGATTTCTTGCGTTGGGGAAAGGGGGATCTGTCTGCACGCGGGTTGCTTGCTGTGTGAGCGTGGAAGGCTTTCATTTCAGTGGTTCAACATAGTGGTTGGTCTCAAGCATGCGAAGCCCTATGCATTGTTCTTGTGCTCCTCAATGGCAGATAGCTCATGGCATGCGTCAAATAAAACATGCACCAAGATATCCTCTGCTCCCACTTTCGCAGATCGTTGCTTGTTGAGTTAAGTTCACTTGAGCTTTTCACGGCGCCATTTTGTTGCTATTTTTGGTTCTTTCGGTTTCAGGTTTCAGGAGGACAGCGTGAACGGGGAGTGGGTGCTGTGCTTCACCAGGAATTCGGAGGGCTCTCCATCGCTGCAGAAGGTAAGCGAGCAGCGCTTCACTCTAAAGAAGGTCTACGGCTGCAGAACGAATCTGTGCACGCACGTACATCAGAAGAACCCGTCCCTCCTAAGCTCGCCCTAGCCATCGCCTTCACTCTGAGGGTCTGCGACTGCAGAACGTATATCTGCACACACGCACACTGCACGCTTGCGATGTCTGCAACCCTTCATGGTGCAGCACGCGTTTATTTGAAGAAGGCGTCCCTTCTAAGCTCGCCCTAACAACGGAGCATGCTCCCAGGAATTGGATAGGGATCCAGAGGTCTCGTGTGAATTGGCGCGTTATCTCAGCCACCGTCGAGTTTCTTCTTTCTTGTCTCTCTTGCTGGTTGCTAGTCGGGTAGCGCGATAAATGCCCCCTAGCTAAACGCACCACAATAGCACACACACACAGCTTGTTCCCTTGTTGCTGTCGCGCAATTGAGACTTGCGGCGTCTTTTCAGTGGTCAGCCGGTTATCGTGGCCTCTTTTTGTTTTTTCAAGAAAAGCACACGTGACCCGGGGTGGTTGTAGTTGTACAAGAAACACACTGCAAAGTGTAGCACTCTACTTACACTTAAAAATGGGGGGACTGCCGCCATAACAAATTGGACGAAAACACACGCACAACTCTTCCCTCCCAACAACTTACGCAGGCGTTGCCAGGCGACCGAGGATTCCAGAACTTCGACGTGAAAGCAAAGCAGTTTACCAACATCGTAAGAGTGTGGGGGGGCAAGCTCAAAGTCGTCGCCGATGTCGGGTACGAGATCCGCCCCGAGGAGCCGAATAAGTGAGACGGATGGAGGGGGGCACGCTGCATGTATTGTGTGTTTAGGGGAGGGAAGGGGAGAGGCACATTGTTGTTGTTGTTGTTGTTGTTGTTGCGGTTGTTGTTGTTGTTGTTGATGGTTTGGTGGTGGTGGTGGCGGTGGTGGTGGCGATGGTGGTGGCGGCCATGGTGTGGAGAGGAAGAGGGAGGCGTTGTGGGGGTGACCATGTCGTCGTGGTTGACATATCTAAACATTGTTGCTTTTTCAGAGGATGCTGTGGTACTTTCGAAACATTTCTTTTCACGTGACCCGCGCCTGGATACACTGACGTACCTCCCGCTGTGCACACGTACAGCTTTTTTCGTTTTCATAGGCAGCGAGGAATGGCGAACCGTTAACCCCCACCCCCCGATGCACACCGCCTCTTTTACATTGCCCATGATTGCGCTGGAAAAAGGCTGGTGTCAACCATCGTGGGAGCGGGCGTTAACCTAGGGCCGGTCCGGGTACCGCTGCCCCTAACGGGGCGGGTGGGCTACCTCGAGTTCACCTATCAAGACAACGACATCCGAATCACCAGGGGCAACAGGTTCGTTGTTGTTGTTTTCCTTCGACACTACTACGTGGACATGAATACATGTGTGATCTTCCCCCTGCCGTTGGTGCTGCCACCAGCCACGCCACTTTCTGTGGGCTTGCGTCTGGCCGCTCAGATTCGTGGGTTGAGCGTTTTTTTTTTTTTTGTCATGTTGTCCCCGATCCCCTGTTCCACGAGCTACGATAGTCTCGCGGCGGAACCCCCGACTCGGCTCTTTCCTGGTGGTTGAAACCCCGGTGAATCCCACGCAGAAATTCGCGGCCGATACGCGTGGTGGGTGGTCTTGTGCACTATTTTTGTTCAAGCGTTCCTTCTGATTCGGGCACCGCCACGCCCCCCCCCCTTTCCTCTCGCCCGCCCGCCCCCCCCCCTCCCCTCGCGGTTTGCTGCTCTCTTCCGTTGAACGGTAAACATGGCACGGATTTAATAAATGAAACGAAACCCGCGGGGAAAACGTCCCTACCCTTGGTCGCGACAAAAAAGAGGCGGTTTGTTCTTGCACATGCGGCCCGGCAGCGCATTTCCTCTGGATTCCGAGGAGGGGTGAAGCGAGCTAGCCGCGAGGAACGAATAGAGGAGGCGGTTCCTGGAACCGTTCCGGGTATTGTTCCCCCCGGTGCCGGCGGCGACTTCCCGCGTTGTCCTTTTTTGGCGGGGCGGTGCTCAAGACGTCGTGCGTGCGAAACGTGACACTTTCCTCTTTGTTCCTGAAAAAAGTGTGTTGTGTATCCCGCGCCTTTAGATTGTCTTTCAACGGCGGGACCTCTCGCTCGTTGTTTCTCCTTGGTTATTGAGTCGGTAGGGGTTGTTTCTGATGGTCTTTAGTGAGTGCGCTTCCGGTCGGCCGTTTGCAGCGTGTGGAACAGATCTCGCACTGAGATGATGCCACTTGCCGAAGGCGCATCTCGAAGGTTCTTTTTGAGTGCGTCCACCTGTCCGGTGTAGAGGGAAAACATGACCCGCACTTGTTCGCTGTTCTCAGCGCCGTGCTGAAGTGTGGTACCGCTCTGTAGTGTTGATGACATCATCAGGTCTCCTTAAGGGGATGGTGCCATCCATGTGTCGGTACCGTACGCGGTTATGGCGGCATTCCCAATGGGTGCACCGTCGAATGTAAGTATTTCCCTTGTTGATGGAACCCTTGGCGCGATTTCACCAGCGTGCAGTTGAATCAAGGTAGTGTATCACCTACGGTTTAAATGTAGCGCACACGACATGTACCAGCGCGTGAATCACGGCGGGGTCGGAACCCCCCCCGCTCTTGCCGGCCGATATCTTGGAGGAGAGAGAGAGAAACGTCCAAGAAGTTGCATGCATACTGCTCAACAGACCGGGGGTAACGCTCGAGCGGTTGGTGGTTCGTTCGGGGACGCAGGGTGCCTTGTGCAGATAGAATCAACTGCTGCTGAATGGTTTCCAGCCGGGCGGCGTCACGGAGGACTTGTTGTCGAAACTAAAGCTAAAGGGGGTGTATTTAGAAGACCACTCTTCCTGCCGGCCTCGGTCTTGTCTGCGCAGACTAGTTATCTTGCGTGCTGGACATAAAAACGTGTTAAAAAAAAACAGCAGCCGGTGCCACTCCGTCAGTCCCAAGAGCCCAGCGTGTGACACCCAAACAAAAAACGAGCATCTTTCTTCTTGGCCTGGGCCGCCCACTACAGCTGTCTCAACTACGTGGCAAAGTCTCAACTATGCTCTGGGCGGCCGCCGCCATCCACTATCCGGCCATCACTTGTCAAGCAAGCAAAATTGAACCCGCCAAGCAGCAGCCAGCCTCGACGTACAACAACACCGAACCAACCAAGCGCCGGCCGGACCCTCGACTTCTTGGCCTAATTCTCCACGCGTAGTCTACGCTTGCACCGAGGGCACACACGAGGGAAGAGGGCTGTGTCTCGGCTTGGCATCCGGCCAAAGCAGGGGTGCAGCGCATCGCTACAGTGTACACGTTTGCCGCGTGAAGAAAGCTTTGTCTCCGGCAAGGCCTCCGACCGCAGGAGGGGTGCATCGCAGCACTGCCGGCGAACCGTTCACCGTGTGAAGAAATCTTTGTCTCCGCAAGCCCTCCGACTAAAGCAGGGGCGCAGCGCAGCGCTAAGCTTTGTCTCCGCAAGCCCTCCAACCAAAGTAGGGGTGCAGCGCAGCACTACAGGTGGAATGTTCTTCGCGTGGAGTCCATCTCCTTCCGCTTGTGGATCCACTCGTACTCTCCGTACTGCGTGTCGAACGTGCCCTCTTGCAGCCAGCGCATCTTGAGAGTGAATCGCGGTCCCAGCTCCTGGTTCGGTTATGGACAAAGGCGAGGGGCAGAGTAAGGTCGTATCATGCTTTGAAGTGTGCGTCAATCCACCGCGCTCCTGGTGCGGTGACAGACAAAGCGCGAGGGAAATGAGGCCATCTCATACTTCGAAGCATGCGTTATTACACGCGGGTAGATCGCCTCACACAATAAATACCGTACACGACACAAGATAACACACCCCCTCGACCGATTTTGAAAGCTCGAATTATTAACAGCAGAAAGAGTCGCAGCGCCGAAAACGGGGGCGTTGAATCCGCCTGGTCGAGAGCTCTCCGAAAATGTACTGTTTCGTTTGTGCATCCTCTTCGTCGTGGCGTAATCGAGCTGTGAAAATCGGTCCACGGGGTGTGTTGTCTTGTGTCGTATACGGTAGGGAGACCGCCCTTGGGCACAGCATTTGCTGCTCTGCTGCCCTGGTGATCTTTAACCGGGGGTCTCCTGAACTGTCCTAGTGACGGGGGTACCCATGAAATTCACAACCACTTGTGTGAAAGGGAGCACGTATGAATAGGAAGACTGGACGTCTCTTGCGAGCCGAGTTTCAACTTGTGTGGCACACGTTCGGGATGAGACGCGCACGCACACTGCTCCCGACTCTGCCTCTCCTCGCGCCCGACACACACGATAATTGACCTTCGAAAAAATTAAAAAGAACAATCTTCCTCTTGTGTGACCCCGGCTGATGCGTGAGATATGTACACCGAAAGGCGTGGAAACTGGTGCCAGAATAGATGGGGCGAACACACACATAGTAGCAGCCATGGTAAACATGTGCAATTTTTAATCCAGAGAGTAGCATTGCCTCCTCCATGTTGCCCGCTCACTCACGGGGTCCTATAATAATAGATTATGGTAGCCGTTAGAAGCATTTTGTGTTTCAACGGTACTGAGACTGACGTCTTTTCGTTGGTCAGCCGGTTAGCGCCGTCGATGCCAATACTAAACACACACACTCACACACACACCAGATCATGGTCATGACCTTTAGATTTTTTCTGTTTTCAACCGCACTGAGCCTGACGTCTGTTCATTGATCAGCCAGTGAGCGCGGTCGACGCTACAAATAGTATTAATAACACACGCACCTGTAGTCTCGCTCTCGTCTTCTTCGTGTCCCCTTCCCCCTTCCCCTCGGCAAAGATGTAGCGGTGAAACCGCACGAAGATGTAATCGCGCTGGTTGTGGAACGTCACCACCTGACGCCCGTTGAACTCCGGTTCCTGCGAAAAAACAAAACAAAAACGAATTTAAGAATTACTAATTCATCCTGGACTCTGATCTGTGGATGGAAATGAAACTGTTTTGTTTCGAAAGGAAAAAAAAAAAAAAAACGAGATTGGCAACAAGCGGTGCGATTGATAACAGCACCGCCAAGCGGTGTTGAAGGGAAACCGATTTCCAACTTGATCAATCTGCCCCCGGGACCTATTTTGAAGCGGAAACCACCGGCGGCCAGTTGAACCCTGGGCAGTGCGCGCACCCCGAGAGACGGTAACAAAAAACAAACCCACGCAGGCCATGCACACACGGTCCTGTTTTCGAGCTCTTAGACCAGTTCGATCAATCGTGCCCTCCGCCTAGGTTAGGTGCGACAGGATCTCACAAATATGACCATGTGTGGTGCGGTAATTCCCCGGCGCAAAGGTGAAAGTCGCAAGCGCGTTGGTGGAGGTCCAAGGCTTTCGCCGCCAAACAATGACAAGAACAAAGCACAACAGCCAAAAACAAACGAAAATAGAAAACAGCAGCAACAACAACGAAAATAAGAAAATAGCAGCAACAACAACAACGACAAAATACTCACATGCGGAAAAAAAGAACCGAGGAAGCGCCCCACCCTGTGGCCCAGGCGCGTGTTGAAGTTGTTCAGGATGATCTCGGGCTGGTGCGCCGTTACCTTGCCGTGGTTGAACACCTCGGTGCTCGGGATAACGTTAGATACCTTGAAGAATGCCGTCGGCCCGTGCGGAAGCACCGAGACGATGAGCCTGAAGATACGCCGAACAAAAACCCGTACCATGTATGGCCACAACAGACACGGGAGAGGGGCGGGGGCGACACAAGAGGGACAAGCTTGAGGGAACGACCGATCCGAAAAAGGACAAGGGAGAAACAAAGACAAAAACATCGAAAAAAAGAAAAACAAAAAAATGCTTGAGAGCACTCGCGGAACGGCGAGTCCGTGCTCTGAGAGCACAGAGACAGCGACCAGTCCTTCCACAAAGGGCCAGCTTGAGATCGACCCCACGACCACCCAGAGAAACGGCGGAAAACCTTCGACGGGATTAGACTCAACGGAAAGCGCAAAGCAATGAATCCGCTCGTCACCAGAGCGAGACAGCGAGTCGCGCAAATCCGTGCCTGCATGGGAATGGGGCTTGGGATTGGTCGGTCCTTTCGACAAAGGCGTCACAACATTCGTACGGCGCCATGCGATGCTTGGTGAGGCCCCCGACGTGCACAATCATGCTGCTGCAAACGACCCGACCCCGCGCCGTTATCGGTTAGCAACAGCTGGCTAGAGGAAGAACGGTAAGGGTATGTATCCCCGCCACTAAGAACGACCACACGTCTCCTGCCACCCTCACGCTAGACCCGAGTTTTTTATGCGTTTTTTAAACCCCGATTTGAAGTAAGTCGAGCCGCCGTGGATGCTGATTGGTGGACAATACCGCGCGGATTCAATCGTAAACCAGATCCAACCCCTCATCAAACGAGAAGAGACGTGCCCAACAGAACAAAAACACAAACCACCAGACACCCGAAGCGTCTGACCACCGCAAGCAGGGTAGCTCTAACGCGGACACAGCAGTGCTGCAAGAGGCCCCGCAACATCCTCCCGTCGGCCGTGCCCTCTCCCCTTCCCTACCGGTGGCCTTACACCAGCACAACAATTCTCCGACCGCTCTGAGATGATGACGAAACCTTGGGATACACAGCGAGTGGTTGGGCTAGGGCTGGGAGCGAGGCTGTGGTCGGGATGCTCCCCCGACTTACCCGTTGCAAATCTTGAGCCTCTCGGAGATGACGAACAGGTGGGTGAACTTCTTGTTGTCGGCCCACTGGCAGATCTGCTTCACCGTGAACGACTCTGCGGGGGGGGGGGGGGGGGGGGGGGGCCAAACCCCCCCCCCAAATTTCCCAAAGGGGGGGGGGGGGTTGGGTTTGGAAAAAAAACCCCCACCCCCCCCCGGGAAAAAGGAATTTTAAAGGGGAAAAAGGTTTGGGGGGGGAAAAAACGCCGGCCCCCCGGGGCACCCCCATTTTGGTTTTTAATTGGGCCCTTAAAAAAAAAACTTTTTTCCAAAAAAAGGGGGGGATTTTAAGGGGGGGGCCAAAAAAAAGTTTCTGGGGGGGCCCCCAAAAAGGGGAAAACCAAAAAAAGGGGGGGGGCCTGGGGCC